GTGTGTGTGTGTGTGTGTGTGTGTGTGCGCCTGGCGGCGTAATTACTGATTTGATTCCAATCCATTATTTAGACAATTGAACCTACAATCTAGTCTTTAGTAAAATGAGGCGAAGTCAGATTTGATTACAGGTTCAGTACCAGCGACAAGAGCTCGAAACCCGATGGGTTAATAACAGATCACGAGTAAATTATTCATGATTTTACGAGCTCTTTAGCTCCATTGAATCGGCCTAATTGAGAGGAAAAAAAAAAGGAGAGAAAGATTGGTCCTCCCCCTCCCCTCATCCCCTTGCTCCTCCCTGGACCCGATCCTGGGGAACCTCGATCTGGGGAGCTGGGGGCGAGAGTGCGGGGCCTGGGGCACCGACCAAATCTGGGCTCAGCAGCCTCTTTGCCCCCAGCGCAGCCCCCTGCCCCAGCCGCTGGCTGGCCTCGGCTTCCCTGCCTTGGGCCGACTCCTTTTCTGCCCTTCTCTCCTTTTCTCCCTTTCCCCTTTTCACCACTCCCCAGCCTGTAACAGCTTCAAAAAAGCCACCCCGCAGGGACCCAGTCTCCCTGAGACCTGGGATTCAGTTCCTTGGCCTGGACCCTCCACCACACAACATCCCTACTATTTCTGGGCCTTGCTGTCCCCTCAGGCTCCCTCTGTGTCTCTCCTGGTTTCTTTCTGTCTTTGTAGCTGTCTCTCTCTGGTTCTGTCCATATCCACTGCTTTCTTTTCCTCTGCCTCTTCTCTCTTTTTTCCTGGCTCTGTCCATTTTCCCTCCCTACCATCTCTCCTTTTTTCTCCATTCTCTCTGTCTTTCTACATCTGTCCCTTTCTTTCCTTTCTCTGCCCTTTCTTTCTCCCTCCCCCAACCACCTCCCCCCATCTAGGCCTCACTCAGGGCATGTCCCTTGGGTTCGTGGGGCGCCAGGGTCCCCATGGAGCTCATTAACAGCAGCAAGGCCCAGGCAGGGGCTGGGCGGAGGAATGGGCCCAGAGATCCCCTGTGGGGAGGCCTGCCCCCACCTCCCGTGGAGCTGGGGACTAGGGGCAAGAAGAGGGTTGCTCCCCACAGTGGGGGCAGGGCAGTTTCCATGGATCCCATTTGGAGTCATTCTGTGGATCCCCTTTAAAGTGCTGGATGAGCACTCTCAGTGGGAGTAGCCCGGCTGGAGGACTTGGGTGCCTGGGTGCCTATGGGAGGAGCCCTTAGGAGGTGTAGCCACTTGCTGACAACTCCTAGGTTAGGGACAAGACCAGCATCTTGTGAAATTTTTCTGCAAGGGACCACTCCTCATTTGGACAGGGGAGGAGTAGGTCACCAGGAGAGCAGGAGTATTTCTGAGGTAGTATTGCCAGATAAAATGCAGGACTCCCAGTTAAATCTGAATTTTGGGCAAACGACAAGTAAATTTTTTTAGTGTAAGTGTATCCCATACAACATTTGAACTTTAAATGAACAATGAATAATTTTTTAGTATGAGTGTATACCATGCAATATTTGAATTTTAGGCAAACAACAAAGCAGTTTTCAGTATAGGTATGTCCCATGCAATATTTGAGACATCATACTAAAAAATTTTTTATTGTTTATCTGAAATTCAAATTTAACTGGGCAATCTATATTTTTATTTGCTAAATCTGCAGCTCTGTTATGGGCATGTGATGAGACAGGAGATATATTCCCAGTTGCCCACTTTAGGGGGAATGAATTAATCTCCTATGAGGCATTCCCCAAAGTAAGACCTTATGTGTGGGATGGCTCAGGATGTATTGAGGGGATCTTGGAGAGGGGTCCTGCATGTCCCCATCAGCCACCAGGTTGCTAAGCAACTTTCTGAGGCCCAAGTTTTCCATCCCTGTCCCCCACCCCAGTGCCTTCCAGGCATTGGCAGGCCCAGCTGGGCCCCTTCTGGATGGGGACGGGCTCCCCAAAGAGTCATGCTTCATCTTTGCCTGGCTTTGTGGTGTAGGGGAAAGAAACAGCAAGGAGGCAAGCACTGCAGTATTGAATCTAGGCTCAGCCATAACCAATGGTGTGGCTTTATTTTCCTTAGCATTAGTTTCCTCATCTCTAAAATGGGGTGAAGAGCAGTAGCCACCTCTTGGAGCAGTAGTGAAGCCCCCCTCCCCCCATGTATGTAGAGCCAAAGGCATACCCTGGGTGTGGCATACATGTTAATTTCTTCCTCCAGCTTCCTTCCCTTTTGGTTAGAACTCTGCCACTCCATGAGATTTCCAAAGATAGCTTAACCTCCCTGCCTCATTCACCTCATTTGTCAAACTGGGAAACAACTGCCTCATAGGGCAGTGGTGAGGATTAAGCTACAAAATACAATTTCCAACCTTCAACCCAGTGCCTGCAGCCCAGGGCTAAGGGATCGTGCAGTACCTTTGGTTGTAGGAACTGATGAGGGAGAACTGAAAGTGAGTGGAGAGTATGGAAAGTGAGTTGAAGTCTGTGACTTCCAGGTGCCTGCCCCAGACACTGTGTGGGGGGAAGGGGCAGGGGAGACTGGAGACTGCATTCCTCCTTAGGGAGTGCAGGGAGAAACGGGAAGATCATGGGCCTGCGTCTGCAGTCAAGTGACTTCCCTTTCGGAGCCTCAGTTTCAATATCTGTAAAAAGGGGGAAATAATGCTTGGCTCAAAGGGTTGTTTTGAGGATGAAAATGTGCATGTAAAGCCCTTTAGCACATCTTGTGGAGTTGAATGTCATTGACAAGTTGTAGCTGTTGTTATTATTACTATTATTGTAACATGATGGCTCAGAATGGTTTTTGGATTCTCCTAGAGCTGGGTTTGAATCCAGCATTTCCTAGCTGAATGACCCTGGGTAGATGGCTCTCTCAACCTCATACTCCCCTATAAATCTATAAAATGGGATAATATCTCCACCTCACCGGGGTGCGGCACCCACCGTGTGGTTCTGAGGTTAGAAACATTTGGCGAAGCGTGGGGTGGGTGTGGACTTGGCAGTGTTGTGGGGGTCCGGGCCAGGAGTTTTACCTGCTGCCTCTGCGTTCCTTCCCCAGCCCTGAGCTGCAACGAGAACGATGCGGAGCACCTGGACCGCGACCAGCCGTACCCGAGCAGCCAGAAGACGAAGCGCATGCGCACCTCCTTCAAGCACCACCAGCTTCGGACCATGAAGTCTTACTTTGCCATTAACCACAACCCCGACGCCAAGGACTTGAAGCAGCTCGCGCAAAAGACGGGCCTCACCAAGCGGGTCCTCCAGGTCAGCCGGGCCGGGGCTAGGGGTGGGGGCATCTGTGGCGTCAGGACCTGGGGTGGAATCCCACAGTGGCCGAGGGCCTTGGAAGGACCTTCCACTCTATGTCCGCCTATCTCTTTATCTTTCTCTGTTCTCTTTCTCCATCTCTTCAGTCTATCTCTAGCTGTATTTCAATCTTTTTTTTTTTATTCTAACTTTGTCTTCTCTCCTTCAAGTTTGGTCCCTCAGTGTTTCTGTTTTGTGTCTGTGTGTCCCTCTGTCCTCTTTGTCTACACACTCAGTCTCTTTTCTTTCTTGTAAGCAATTCTTAGTTGCTATTTATTACCCAAGTGACACTCAAATATGCTCATGTTGTAAAAGGTTCAAGCATTTCAGTTAAACCAGAGCTTCCCCCCACCCCCTCACCGGCAACCTTGGCCCCTTAAACCAGGATGCCCGTCCAAGGCACCTGCTGTTAGCCATTTGCTCCTTCTGCTTCTTGTTCCTCACTTGCTCTCTCTAGTTTCTCTCTCTCTCTCTCTCTCTCTTTCCTGTCTCTCTCTAGATTTACCTTCTGTTTCTTTGTTGCTTCTCAGACTCTCCCAGAAGCAAGGTTTGTAAGGGAGAGGGATTAGGGCAGATCCCCTGGGTGGAAGTAGATGGGTGCCTCTGAAAACAAGCAGCATTGCACTTGTATGTGAGGGTGCTTTCTTGATAGAGAGGATCCAGAGCTTTCACCAGATACCCTAAGGGTCTGTCCACCACCCCCAAAATGTTAAGAACCCCATTTGGGGATACAGGTATCCCAGCTGCCTGTATGACCCAAACTTGTGGCAGAGCCTTGGGTCACCACTTTTTAAATCTTCAGCTCCTCCTCTTACTCGTTTCATGGTCCTGGGCATGTCACCTAACTCCTCTGAGCCTCAGTTTCCTTGTATGTGAAATGCACACAAGAAATTACACTGAATGCTTATTGGAGGAGCAATTGAGATAATGTAAGTGCCCATCACAGTAGCTGACAACCGCTCAGTGGATGGTAGCTAGGATAACATTAACTAGATTAATCAGTTAACTGATATTAACTAGTATAAACAATTATTCTGGTGGCTGGACTTCAGTTTCCACATCTGTACAATGATAAGGTGGGAGAATATCTCCCTTTATAGCTAGTTTAACCGATTTATTCCTCAGAACGTGTGACTGTAGGGATAACAATGCACATTTTTGGGTAAGAAAATCGAGAGATGAAGTGAGTTGACTATGGTCCCACAGCAGGAGGAGTGGTGCTGGAATCTGAGGGCAGGCCAGTCCGACCGACCCCCTAGCCCTAAGTCTTTGAGGACTGAGGGCCCGGGGGTGGGTGGCGACACCGAGTGGGTGAGGGTGATGGTGACGACACCGAAGTCTGTGAAGCCACCCTAAGCTTTCTTGCGAGTCTGTTAGAACTTTTAAGAAAGCATTTTGGAGGTGACATTGGTGGCGGGATGGGACTGTGACGCGGGCGAGGGTCCGCACATCTCCGGGAAGCCTGGAGCCCGGGGGCCCAGGCCCCCGGCTGCCAGCCACGCGCACCGCGACGGGTCTGGCGCAGCTTGGTCTCGCGCGGGCTCAGTGACGTAGCGGAGGGAGCTGAGGGCCCGCCAATGAGACGCCGATGCGCCTCTCTGGGCCCCCCCCCCCCCCCCCCCCCACTTAGATGGGGCAGGATGACTAGAGGGAACTGGAGCTGGGTATTTCCCTTTCTCCAGGTCAGTTAGACCCTGATTAAACCCCAGTAGTTTGTTAGGGATCGTTTTGCCCAAGGTCCCTCTGACCAGGGCTCGAGAAGAGGCGGCCCCTTGGGGTCTCAGATCCCGCTGGTCCGTTTTCCTCCGACTTTTCCTTTTGGGGATTAGGTCGGGCGACTCTTCTTGGCGCCCCCTCTGTTCTTCAGCCCTGGGCGAATTTGGACGCAGGATCTGTGGTTGCTGCCTTTTCTCTGGTTAGTAGTCCTTCCTCTCTCTAGATGCCCTTATGGTGAGTTGGTGGGGGAAAAGGGATCCGTGAAAAAAGCCCCAAGAGCAGGCGGGGGCAGGAACAGGGACTTGAAGTCAGGCAGAGCTGGGTTCCGTTCTGCCCATCTACTCACCGGCAGTGTGTCTTGCACAAATTAGTTACCCTCTTTGAGCCATAGCTTTCTCATCTGTAAAATGGGCACCATTAGGGCACATACCTCGCCAATTATCCAGATTAAGTGAAGTAAAGAGTAAATGTCCATGGTTGGGTCTGAATCTGGAGTGGGGAGCTGATCTCTGCTGGCCTTGGTAAGGCAGGAAGCTTGATTTAAGAACACATTGGATTTCCAGCATAGTTATCTCTCATTCTTTCATCTGACCAAATAGCTATTGGCACCAGGCCCTGGGGACACAGAGGTGAATGAACCACAGTCCTGGCCCTGAAGAAATTCACCTATTAGGTGTCGAGACAGACCCACAATCAGTTTCCCCATAGTGTGATCAGTCGGGAGGGAGTTTCTATGGGAGACCAGGGGAGAGACCAACTACCTACCCTGTATGTGAGGAAGGGTTCATCTGTGTGACCTGGGTCTAGACTTGCCCTTCCTCCTCTAGAATCCTGAGCCAGGGCTCTTCACACCTGCATGCCCTCTCCACCATGGGGACTCAGAAAAGCCAGGGCATGGGACTAGTTGAGAGAGAGAATCATTGATAGAAGCACTAATCAATAAATGTTTGAGTGCTCCTACTATGTGTTGAAAGACTCAGGAAGTACATTTGCTCGTTGAGTTCTCACTATCAGGCATCATGATCCCTTCCCCACTGTACAGATGAGAGAACATTGAGGCCCAAATGATTTCCACTTGCCCCAAGTCACACTTTGCTGGTAGGTAGCAGAGCTGGATCCAAATCCAGGCACGTCTGATCAGTGGGCATTGCCCTTTCTCCTCTAAGCCAACCCAGCAGTGACAGCCTCTGAGTGTGAGTATCATTTATGGGTTGTATGTTGTTGGGGTGAGGGCAGTCATACCCACAGGACACATCAGACCCCTGTTCTCTGTCCTCCCAGACCCCCCAATCTCCTGCATAAATGCTTAGTATTCCCTAACAGCACAGCAGCTCATGATTATGCAGCAGTTTGCAAAGCATTGTCTTTCCAGCTACTCATCTTCCTTACCTTAATATTTTCCTGCCCATTTTACAGATGAGAAGCTTAAGAACTAGTGAGATGAAGTGATTTACTTGAGGACACAGGAGCCAGGCATTGACAGGGTGGGGCTCTCTCCCAGGTGTTCTGACTCCTGATGGGCCAGCTGGGGGAGATGGGATGGGGGCAGTTTGGGGCGAGGCAGCTGGTGGTGTGGCTTTGGAAGGTAACATATAGATTAAAGTCCTTTCTGACATAACAACAATGTGATTTGGGCACTTTAACTTCTCCTCTCAGAGCCCGATTCCTTGTCTTTGAAGTGGAGATAATAATAGCTTGTACCTTGAGGATTCCTGAGGATTGAGACAATGAATGGGAAGGCTCCAGCATGGTGCCTGCTGGTACAAAGTAGACAAAGTAGGTGCCCATGAAATGGCTTCTCATCACTGGCTACACAAGCTTAATTGTGCTAGGCCTTGGGTGCCCCCTGCAGGTTGTGGTCCACCTCGACCCTGTGGAGAGAGTCTGCAGGGCAGGGCAGGTTGAGGTTGAGGCTGTGTTCTCAGAAGTGGTTGATGTAGGGTGTGTGTGTGTGTGTGTGTGTGTGTGTGTGTGTGTGTGTGTGTGTGTGTGTGTGTGTGTGTGTGTGTGTGTGTGTGTGTGTTGAGCGAGTGACTTAACCTCTCTGAGCTTCAGCTATAAAATGAGGATGATAACAGTGCTTCACTAGGTAGTTTCAAGGAGTAAATAAGATGACATAAGGTGTAATTTATAAAGTATATGAGGGACTCAATACATATTAATTTCATACACATTTACCTAGTAAGGTTCAGTCTACCGTCCCCTTTTGCACACATTTAAAAATTTTAATTATCTTCATTTTGCAGATGAGGAAACTGAGGTTCAGAGAGGCTAAAACCCTTGCACTGAGTCTCACAGCTAATAAGTGATGGGAGGGGTCAAGCCCAGATTGGTCTGATTCCACAGCTCTTTCCAATATGGCACAGTGTAGGGATTGTGATTCTCAGCACCCCCTCCCCTTGTATGTAGCTGCCGAATGCAGCAGGACAGATGGGGGACAAGGGGAGGAGTGAGTCATAGATGCCATGTCTTGGTAGGAAAGCAGGAATTCTGTTGTAAAGCCCTAGGGGCGTAAAAAGTGCTCAGAATTGTCACCAGCAGCAGCAGCATGACAATCACAGTACTCACTTGTCACCAGTGGGCAAGGTGGCCGGGCGACAGAATGGCTCCTTGGACCGAAGTCCATTAAGACATTAGCTTTACCAGTTCTTGGAGAGCGTTGCTCAGCACATCCATGCGCCTCTGCATTGCCTCTCTTCCTTCCTGGGGAAGGATTAGGAAGGCAGAATATTAAGGTGCCCTAGGCTGGGGAAGGGGCTGGTGAGCTGATGGATTTGGATGGGTGAACGTCTCCTTAGGGGTTCCCAGTGTGACTTTGAAGGAAAATACATTTTAACAACCAGCAGTTTAAAAGCATTCTTCAGATGACCAGTTAGTCATCATTAACCTATGTGAGAACTCAAGAACTGAGGACACTAGCTTTCCTCCGTTCACTCACTTCAACAAATACACTGACCTGCCGTGTTCTGGGTGGGGCGTGAGGTACTGAGGATTCAGTGGTGACCCTGGCAGTGAACAGGCCCGGCTGGAATGTACAGTCCACAGGGGAGACAGTGTCCAGCAAGTTACTGTATAAATAATTAAAATGGTGATAAGATTGACCTCTATATTTTTCTGTATATTTGAAATGTCTCATAGTAAAAATATCTTTAAATGATTCCAGGGCCAAATAAGTTTGGGAAATGCCAAAGATTGACTGCATCCTTCTCTTAGAGATCAGAGCACACTGGCATTAATACAGGCATTGAGAAATCTTGAAGAGATTCAACTTTGTCTAGTCCAACATTTCCCAAGTGTATTTGGCCACAGAACCCTTATTTAACTCTTGACAAAAATAAAATAGAAGAAGTGCTAAGATGGAAAAATATAGGGGTGCAACGAGAGCATAAACGCAGGGACCTGACCTGGGGAGGGAGGTGGTCAGGAGTGGCTTCCCTGAGGAGGTGAGGTTTAAACTAGGACTTCAGTTCATTGAGCCTCAGCTTCCCCACCTGTAAAATGAGGAGAGTGAGCATTGTTCTGCATGTCATTTGCACAGGGCTGTACAGAGTATTTGATCTAGTCACGGATGGTTGAAGTTGGATGGAATTTCATAGGTGATTTGGCCCAAATCTCTCCGCTTAGAAGAGAGGAAACTGAAGCCCAGAGAGGTGGAGTGACTTGTTCAAGGCCCCAGAGCAAAGTAGTTGTAGCCCTGGAACTGGACCTAAGGGGTCCTGATATCCAGTCCACTGCTCATTATTTTTTATTCTTTAAAGAAAACTTTCTTTAAAGTTTATAAAATAATAGAACCACCATACAGGCAGGTTAGAAAACTAAGGGGGAAAGTTACCCATATGAAGACACAGGAAACCAGTAATCCAGGTGTGCACTTTGGAAGTTAAGTAGTGGGTAGGGGCGTGGGCCCAGCTTGCTGGGATGCACATCTCATCTCTGCGTCTTTGGCTGGGCTCTGGGTCTCAGTCTCCTCACCTGATGATAATTTCAGTGCTGACCTTGTAAGGCACTAACAGGAGTTCATATGTGTAAAATCCTTAGAACTTTGCTTAGACGTTGCCTTCTGAGTGAATAATATTCGTCGTTATTATTTGCTTTATGAAGTTGCAATACCAGAGGATGTCATTTTGTTATTCTTTTTTTTCCTCACATAACATTCGTCACAAGACATTTCCTCTGTGACTGCGTGGAGTGGCTGTGTCGTGACTTCCACTTGTCCCATCTGGTCGGATGCTTTGGATGCAGCCATTGGTTTTGATGTCATAAAAAGAAACTGCCAGTGGACATTTTTGGTCTTGAAGCATTTTTGGCTGGTTTCCTTAGTGGCCTTGGAGGGGATCTGTGGGGCAGAGTGGGTTTCCCACTGACCCTCCTGGTCTCCTTGATGAAAGAATCCTGGGGAAGGGGATTTGCGAGGCAAAGCTCAGCCTTCAGGGCCAGGGGGTGTCTGAGGAGGAGCCATGTAACCATGTGGGCTTCCTCCTCCACCCAGGACCTACTGGGGATCCCTGGGGCACCTGACTGAGGCACTCCCTGGAGATGAAGAGAGAGGGCTGTCAGTTTAAGAAGATGGGTGGGTAGAGCAGATCATCTTCCTTGTTGCAACTGCCAGAGAATCGCAGCCTGTCAGCACTCCAAGAGGCCATAGAGATCATATGGTGTGGTCCAACTCCCTTGTTGTACAGGTAGGGAAACTGAGGCAGACCCAGAGGTAAGGGACTAGCAGGGGTCACTTGGTTGGTCAGTGGCCGAACCAGAGCTGGAAGCTACAGCCTGTGCTCTTTCCACTACATCGTAGTTGCTTCTGTGTTTATTCACTCATTCATTCATTCATTCATTCATTCACTGACTCACTCCAGATCATGTGGTAGGGAAAGCATGGACTTTTTATGGCAGATAATCCTGGATCTTAATCTCATTTTGGCCTCTGTGTGACCTTGGGCAAGTGACTTTGCCTCTCCAAGCCTCTCTGGTTTTAAATCTATAAAGTGGGGATAATGATAGTACCTCCCTACTTGGCCTATCATGGAGATAACCTGTGACCGTGCATGTTAGAGGATGGCCGGGTGCCCGGCATGAAGAGGTCTGTAAATGTTATCTGTTAGTATTACTATTAACTCGGTGCATGTGACTGATTCTTAATCTTTGCCGATCCCTCTGCCATATCCCCAGGGATATAAAGATGACTTAGACAAGGTCCCTGTCCCAACAACCTCTTGGGAGGGGATTTTTTTTGAAATACCCAGGAGAATTCTGGTGAAGCCTGGCTTAAGGTGAGAAACAAACTGCACACAAACCCCCGCAGCAGCTGGCTTTTAGTGGAGTTGTTGACTTTCATCCACTAGATTCCCAGTGCCTCAGATTCGGTAAAGCAGAGAAGGCAGTTGTGGAAGATGGTGTCATTGTTTACAAACCTCTGTTAGGGGCAACGCCAGAGAAATAGCAAACAGCCAGCAGCTAACTGTTCCAGCCCTTCCCAAGGGCTTGGAGCCCCGACCCGATGGGCGATGCACTGCCCCCGGGGCTTCCCGCTCCTGCTACCACTTGGAGAGTCAGGCCCACAGGACGCTCACAGGGCCACACATGCTCAGGACAGGACGGTGGCAAGAGTGTCACAGCTCCAGGCTTCCTCATCCCCAATCTGCAGTGTTACTTTGGGGAAGTTGCCTCTTCTCTCTGAGGGTCTCTGGGGGCTTTCTCCATCATTTTCTCTATCAGTCATTCTCTGGGCCAGACGGACACAGAGTCCCACCTCTGTAGATTTCTGCAGGCCGGGCAGGGAAGGAGCCCCCATCACAAGAAGTGCCTCTCGAGGCTGGTCTTAGAAGCACTGTACTTATTTGCAAGCCCCCAGAAGAGGTGATGGGCTTGCTTTGGGCAAAGGCCAGGGAAAATGTGCTTTCTTCCTGGAAAGATCCAGCGGGAGAGAGCTTTGTTTCCCGACTTCACAGGGTCTGCATCTCCCTCCTTACTCCAGGAATCTAAAGGCTGTGCTTTTTAATTGAGCCCAAGTTGTATCAGGCCACCAAAAAGAGGGTTTGAGGCCACAGGCCCCTGGAGCTTGGGTGGTCCCCAGGGGAGGGTGGGGCCGAGGGCTGGCCCTTCCTATCCCTGTCTGAGACACTGGGAAGACAGGAGATGCAGGCGCACCTGGAAGGACGCAGCTGGACACCCTAGAATCTGTTCAGTTCCCCAAGGCCCTCTGTTTTACCGGGAGGCTTCCGGCGAGTGTTTTCTTCACACAAAGGGAAGGGAAGGGGCCCTGCCCTTTGGGCTTTTTTCTCTGGGAGATACAACCTCCCACCCCAGCCCCCCAACCCTCCTCCCCCCAGATTTTCTTGGCTTCTCCCAAAGTACTTTGAGGACCTCGGGGTACAGCGGGATCTCTCTGTGCAGTTCGATGGGTGGGCATACTGGCTGGGGGGGGCTGTGGAGATAAGTATCGATGCTTCGTGTGTACAGGCTTGTGTGCAGTGGTGTGGGTGAGGATGTGTGCGTGTGTCGGTGCTCAAGGGAAAATGAAAGCAAACCCTTATTCTCTCTCTTGGGCATTCTTTTCACACAGAGCTCAGTAACTGGGCCCCCCACCCCACCTTCCTCGTAAAGGATACTGAGACATGGCAGGTCGGGAGGGAATCTTTCATCAGGCAGCTCTTCCCATTCTGTCCACTCCGCCCTGAGACCTGAAACCCAGTGGTCCAGGATGCTGGCGGCTTCTCCAGCAGATAGCGGCAGGGAATAGGAGCTGCGTCTTTTTCTTCCTCTTAGTAACTCTTTATTGACTGATTCCTGTGTGTTCTTTACATCGTTCTGGTATTTCCCAGACTTGCCATGAAAAACTTGAAAAATGGTGCCCACAAGAATTTGTGGGCTCTCTTGCTCGCTTAAAGGCGACTGCTGTGTAGATAAGTATCGATGCTTCGTGTGTACAGGCTTGTGTGCAGTGGTGTGGGTGAGGATGTGTGCGTGTGTCGGTGCTCAAGGGAAAATGAAAGCAAACCCTTATTCTCTCTCTTGGGCATTCTTTTCACACAGAGCTCAGTAACTGGGCCCCCCACCCCACCTTCCTCGTAAAGGATACTGAGACATGGCAGGTCGGGAGGGAATCTTTCATCAGGCAGCTCTTCCCATTCTGTCCACTCCGCCCTGAGACCTGAAACCCAGTGGTCCAGGATGCTGGCGGCTTCTCCAGCAGATAGCGGCAGGGAATAGGAGCTGCGTCTTTTTCTTCCTCTTAGTAACTCTTTATTGACTGATTCCTGTGTGTTCTTTACATCGTTCTGGTATTTCCCAGACTTGCCATGAAAAACTTGAAAAATGGTGCCCACAAGAATTTGTGGGCTCTCTTGCTCGCTTAAAGGCGACTGCCAAAAAAACGAACCTCTCAACCATGGTGAAAAATGATCGAGATTTGGTTTGTGTGAATCTCCCAGAACAGAATAGAAATGCTATGTGAGCCACATATGTAATTTTACATTGAAAACTTTCCAGTAGCCACATTAAAAAAGCAAAAAGAAACCTGTAAAATTAATTTTAAGGATATATCCTGTTTGGCACAATATGTCCAATATATTGTCATTTCAACATGTAATCAAAATAAAAATTACCATTGAGATATTCTACTTCCTTCAAATCTGATGTGGTTCTCACCTATAGACCAGCCGTCTTGGGGCTAGCCACATTTCAAGTGCTGGGTGGCCACATGTGGCTAGTGGCTACGATATCTGAGAAACTTCTAACAGAAGGGGAAACCCAGTAACAGGCAATTCGAGGAAAGGACATTTTTACTGTATTAACAATAAAAATACAAAACAAAATATTGCCAGCCCAACTTTTTAATACACGTCCCCCGCTTCCCCATTCTGGCAGAACACCGATTGGCATCTCTGAGTTAAACAGTCCGGAGGCATGCTCTGCCCTTCTCCTCGTCCTGCCCGCCTTCCTCTGACCAGCCCTTCCCTCTCCCCCACGCAGGTCTGGTTTCAGAACGCCCGGGCCAAGTTCAGGCGCAACCTTTTACGGCAGGAAAACACTGGCGTGGACAAGTCGACGGAGGCGGCGCTGCAGACGGGGACACCGTCGGGACCGGCCTCGGAGCTGTCCAACGCCTCGCTCAGCCCCTCCAGCACGCCCACCACCCTCACAGACTTGACTAGCCCCACCCTGCCGACTGTGACGTCCGTCTTAACTTCTGTGCCTGGCAACCTGGAGGGCCATGAGCCTCACAGCCCCTCTCAAACGACTCTTACCAACCTTTTCTAATGATTCTCGGCCCCCCGCCCCCGCCCCACAATTTCTTTAAAAAAGAAATTATCTTTAGTTGAATTCCAAGTGTATTTTAAAATAGAGGCTTTGAGCAACTAACTAACCACATTTTAGGATCTCGCCTGGAAAATGAGGAAGAAAGTAACTACGCCCCTTGCAGACACAGCGGTGTGGACTGGAATTACTTGGAAGATCTATCTGCAACACAACATTTGTGTCACTGTACAGTTTTGTGGACTGAGCGAGGAAAAACAACAAATAATTTAAGTTGGCTAGAGCTTCTGTATTTTCAAAGACTGCCACGTGCCTTAGGAATACTGTTTTATCTCCATACTTTGGATGACTTGTTCATTTTTCTCTCCCTCTTTTTCTCTCTGTATATTTATGACCAGAGCAAAAATGTAAAAAAAAAAAAAAAAAAAAAAAAAAAAAATTTTTTTTTTTACCTGTGCTCTGCAACGGTAGAGGCTGCAACAGTGAGAGGCCCAAAAAAAAAAAAAAAAAAAAAAAAAAAAGTTTGTTACTTTGAATAGTCCTAAAAAAAAAAAAAAAAAAAAAAGGAAAAAAATCAAACCCCCTCCAACAGTCGCTTTGTTGTTTTAGAATTTTAAGGTGGAAGTCTGTTCAAATATCAGAATTTGTAAAATCTAACCAGTAATAAAACCACTTACTGAAACTAGCTGGTGCCACTGCTGTTTAGAGGTGTGCCAAATTCACAGGACTTAAGAGTCTTACTGAAGCCCAGAGATCAATTCCAAGGTCTTCCCCTATTTATAATACTTATTTATAATAATTTATAATATTTGCGGGGATCCTCTTTTGTGCCAGACTTTGGGCTGCTCGTTGGGATCCAGAGATGAAGTAGGCACAGTCCCTGCTCTTAAGGAATTTAGAGTGGAGGCAGAGACAGACAAGAGATCATCTTAGCACGTGTGCTATGTGCTAAGTGGGGAGCATGTAAGCAAAATGCCATTCATTCATGCATGTGTTCTTTCAAATATTAAATAAGCACGCCCTGCTGGATCCTTTGACAAAGCTCAAAGGTCATTACACCTGCCTCTTCTGCTCTTCTCTGGGCTGGAAGGGTATGTCAGGCAATGAGGGAGGACTTTCCCCATGAGGAGTGAACGCTGTCACCAAAGGGCAGCGTAAGCTCGAGTTTTCCTAATATAAGACACAAAATTTCAAAATCTTCCAAGAGGGCAAAACCAAATGAATTTGGTTCCTTTACTAAAGCTTCAGGTAACCTCAGAAACCCAGAGAAAAGATGCATCCAGAGAGGATGGAGGTTGAGAGCCAGGCAGAATGAGGTTGGAATCTCTACTGTTAAGCAGTGTGAGCTGAAGGAAGTCATTTCACCTCTTCAGGCCCCAGTTTCCTCAGCTGGAAGGTGACAGTCATGACCTTTATATGACAGTTGTAGTGAGGGTGAAGTGAGGTGTGTTGAGGGGCCCAGCGGAGGGCCTGGCATGTAGGAGCTCAATATATTTTATGGAATGCCAAGTGACACGTCAGGACCTTGCAGGTGGAGAGCAGGAATTGTGTGTATCCAGGCACTGCCTGTCATTGCTGGATGCATCAAGCAGGTGTGACGTCTGTCCACTGAGCATCTTATACCCCTCGTTTCTTGCCCTGAGCCCTACTGCAGAGTACTCTGTTACCAGCTTGATCGAATGCCAGCTGTCGTCTAGCAAAATGCCCCACGGTGCCCACCAATTTGAAAACCCAGAGGGAAGATCATAGCTGCTTTGAGGAGAAAACAGCCAGGCAAGGTTGGGCAGGGCAGCAATCCAGCCCAGGACTGTGGTCCCTCTCCCTTCCTCCTCCTGCCATCATGATTGGGACCATGTGGGGAAAGGGAGTAGGGCAGGAATGAGTTGCAAGTATGTAAAGCCTGAAGCGACTCACTTTCTGAAATGTTAAACACACACACACACAAAACACTATTGTTTCTATTGCAAGTTAATGCCTGGCAAATAGTAGGAGCTCAATAAATTTTTTGTAAACTTTTATATTGATGTATAATGTGCATAAAGGGCACATTTCTGAAATGAACAGCTTGACTGCTGTTTTCCAAATGAACACACCCATGTAACCACCACCTAGATCAAGATACAGGACATTTACAGCACCCTGAAGTCTCCCTTGGGCCCCCTCCCTGTCAGCCCCTCCCAAGGTAGCTCCTATTCTGACTTGTAGCACCATGGATTAGTTTTATCTGGTTTTGACTGATACATTTTTGCTGAATGAATTCAGGATTACCCAAGATTAACCACCTTGCCTGGGATCAGGCAGCTAGTGGTGGAGGAGCCAGGGTTTGAACCAGGTCTGTCTCCAGATGCCAAGCTCTCAACCTCAAGCAGACACATTCGTAGTCATACATCCAAGCATGTGGGTTAAGAGCCTCAACTTTCTATCTGTCAAATAGGGTAACACCTCCTTGATGACTAGGTAAGAGAATGCAAGCAGAGGGCCTGGCCCGTGGACAGCCTCACAGATACAGCCCGACTCCAGGTACTCCCAGGGACCCACAGACACAGGTACACTCTTGAGGCTCTAATGGACGGATAGACCCACAGGCTAATGTGCTCACACCCAGACAGCCTCACACAAAGACGCACGTGCACAAATCTAGCAGACAGACATAAACAGGCCCAGACGCTCACAGATATATCCAGACAGACACCCAGAGCACCCCACACAGGGAGACCCGCATACAAACCCAGATTGCACACGTGCAAACATTTGCAGGCACCCAGACACCCCCACGTAACCCGGCTGTGCTCTGTGCTCAGGCCTGGACAGACCTGAGACTGATCCCTATCTTGTCTGTCAGCACTGCCACCCAGAGGGAGCAGACCCTGGAATGATGCCCAGGGGTCCCCTGCCCTCTGCATGGGAGCAACTTTGGAAGCAGGGCCTGCTGGTGGGCCAGGGATGGGGGGTGCTGTGGAGAAGACACTGCTCTCCCCTGAGTCCAGACTGAGAGCACCACACACAGAGTGAGACACTCAGAGAGAGTGACGGAGATGGGGAGATGGGGAGAGAGGCAGAGAAAGAGTGAGACACAGAGGCAGAAAGGGACAATGACAAAGATGTGCACAGACGCAGAGACAGAGAGCGATGACAATGGGGACAAAGATACAGGGCAGAGAGGCGGATCCACAGTGGACTGGGAAGGAGAGATGGAAGGAGAGAGAACAGCCACAGAGCAGTGAAGAGGCAGAGAGACAAGAGACAGTGATCCAGGTTAAGAGACAGAGTCAAAGTCACAGGTGGAGAGATGACAAGATGGAGAGAAAAGCAGATGGAGATTGAGAAGACTCAGAGAGAAAGGGAGATCCTGGGACAGACTCAGAGGCTGACAGAGACCTTGACAGAGAGACTGAGCGAGAGGAATAGAGATGGTCGTTTTGAACTGGTGAAGAGTGACATTCAGAGAGGGAGAAGGTGGCACCAAAAGGACAGCAGAAATAAACAGAGACTCAGACTGGAAAGCAGGCGCTCGGTGGGGCAGGGGCTGAGGCTGGGCTTAGGCTGCCAGCCCAGTGCTGTCCCCTGGTGATGGGAGGGAGGGAGAAGATGCTGTCATCACTGCTACCTGAGACTCTGGGGCAGTGTTGCCACCTCCCTGAATGCTGGCTCCAGAGGGGACCAAGGGACCGTCACCAAAACCTTTTGGTCTCCAACCTGCTGTGAACATGGAGAGCCTCCTGGTTCTGGGGATCTATACCCAGGCCTGGCATTAGGCAGTTTGCAGGGGCTGAGGTTTTGACAATGACTGTCCCCTGCCCTGTCTCATCCTATGAAGTCTCCTTTTCCCTAGAGAGGGGAGGCCTGGGGCAGATGGAAGAGACCTTCCACAGTCTTCCCTGACTTGCAAGAATTTTGGCAAGGTACTTAGCCACTCTGAACCTCAGTATCTTAATCTGTAAAATGGGGCCAACGCTATCCGCCTTGTAGGAGGATTGTTAGGATTCCATGAGAGAATGTATGCATGCTATATTCATGTTTGACTAAATATGAGGGGAGCTACAGGGGAGGGGTGAGGAGTTGTCTCAAGAAGTTGGGAGAGACTCCAAGGAGTTGTTATGTGAGTTGGGATCTTGGATGAACCAAAGGTGACCGGGTGGAGGAGGGGAGCAGGGTGAGAATTCCTGGCGAGGACACAGCCTGGGCACAGGCAAGAGGATACAGAGAACAGTGGGGAGTGGAGAGTAATTTAATGGCCGGGGTTGCTCCTGTGGAGGTGGGTCAGGTTCAGCTCATGGACAGCCTTGAATACCAGCTGGAGCTTGGCCCTGGGGGCCTTGGGGAGATGCCTGTGATTCCCCTGTTCTTTCCTGGGCTGCAGGCCCAGGATACAACCAAGTAGACCCCCTTGCCACCCCTGTACTCAGGTCAGAGTCCCACATGGCAGAACCAGCTTCCTGGAGAGGAAGTGTTGGCCACTATGGCTTGTGCGTTCTGCTGGCAAGAGTGAACACCTCCAGGCTTCATCCGGCAGCTGAGGCCCCAGGGAGGGGCCGCCCTGGACCCTCTGGCCCCTGGGGACTCTAGGAGGGCCAATGGGCCCTTCATACCTTCCTTTCCATCTTCCCCCTCCTCTCTTCCTCCCTTTCTCCATGGCCCAGTGCTGGGCATCGAGGTCTGGGGACGTGGAGATAATTTGGCCAACGGCCCCTCCCTATGGCTCCCAGGCTTTCTGGGAGACAGACGCGTCAACAGCCAGACACTGTCAGCATGAGGGAAGCCCGGGGGCTTACAGGAGCCCCAAGGAAGGAGAGTCCGACTCTGCGTGGGATGGAAGTCCTACGCAACTTGCCATGCCTCTATGCTCATTATCTCACTGAGCCCTTCCCACAGCATCAGGAGGCAGGGAGTGTCATTCCATTTCACAGAGAAGGAAGCCAAGGAGGGGTCATTTGCTCAGGATCACACAGCTTGGGGGCCACAAAGAGATTTTCATTGCAGTTCTAGAAATTCAGCTAGCACCTATCAATCCATCCATCCACCGTGCCAGGCACTGTGGCTGGGGGCACTTGGACAATTCCGGCCCATCCTGGGGTCTTGTGCAGCTGGACTGGAGGTTCAAGAGGCAGAGGGAGCCCAGAAGAGGGTCCCAACAGGGGTGGATGTTTGGGGAAACTTTTTGAGTTGGAAGATCAGGCAACTGACCTGGAAGTGTTTGAGGCCACAGGGGGATCCAGGGGGAGGGCAGAAGGGTGCTCAGGGTGTAGGATTTTTCCACCAGTGAGCAGCACTCATGTGGGCAGGAGAGAATCACCGAAAATTTGGAGATGGAAGCTGCCTTGGAGAGCCTCTAGCCAGACCTGTGCTTCAGAACTAGCTTCCTCAGAACCAGCAGCTTATCTAAAATACCCACACTGCGGGGGGGC